AAAAAAGGTACCCTAAAAGAAGTCTCAAATTATGAAACTTTTTGCAATTGAAAAAATCTAAATATCTAACAATAACAAGTGAATTATTTTGATATTTCTTCTTTCAACAGGTACACAGACAGACATTTAGTTTTTACATTTAATATCAAGGCTGTTGTGATATTTTCGCTGTAATTTCATCATATTCAGATTCTTTGTATATATATAAAAAAAAACCCTTTCACATTATTCTGCTTCATTCCTTGGACTTACCATAGTCAAATAAAAAAAACCCTCACATTTCTGAAGAAATAGTCTTTCTGAGAAACGCTCGGCAAAAAACTGGATTTAACAGCATACGTATGTATGTATGCAGTGCCGTCAAATTACATCAGGGGCCAGGGATTTTCACCAGATTAATATGCAGCTGGACCTGGCTACCTTTTGCAAAGTAAGTGCTAGATTTATAAAGTTAATAAATTTAAATTACTAATTTGAATTTAAATACAATCCTACTAACTCAGTTTCTAGCAAAATTTCTGTTCCGATTTCTTGTATCAGTTGTATTGGAAGTATAGAAAGGAATCATTCTGAAACAAGTTTTGCAACTGCAATGTCATACCAAAGACAAAGTTAAATTGTCCTAAAACGCTTGAAATTTAGCTCCAGATAGAAGATTTAGTTGTCCTGAGAAATGCATAAAATTCAATTTTGATCAGATGGTTTTGCAGCTTGAACTCCCACTGGGAGAGGAACCTCAGATCCACTTATACTTTAAGTAATGACAGAAAACTCCCAACATACACATGTTCCCTCAATCAAAACAGTTCTTAACAAAATATATATATATTGCACATGTTCACTTTTAAACGCATGTACATGCTATCTATATTAACACCTCAGTATCTTATTTTTTTTTTTTTTTTAAAATCAAAGGGTTATACACCAAATGCAAACAAATAATACAAACTGTGCACAAAAACAACTATGATATTTTCTTAAAGAAAAATTCTGCATAAAAAAAGAAAAAAAGAGTATTATGTATAAAATATTCAGATGCATAATATTCCAAATATTGTAATTTATGTAAATATATCAGTGTTAAAATGGTTTGTTACACACCATGATAAAGTTGTGTAACAAACCATTTTAACACTCTTGAGTATTAGCAATGTTGTTCATTGCAACATGAAATGTCAATAAACACTTTACAGATAATACTTGCATCACTTCTTTCTTATCTAAATATATTATTTTAATCAATTAATAGTTTGAATTAAAAAAGGTAGGGTGGCTTAACCCAGAAATTGATTTTTAGCAGTCACATGGAGTTTTACAAAGGAGTGAGTGTAAATGAGCTGAGAGATCCACCAGTTGTAGCTCCGTTTTCTGCTGGAGGGGCTCATCTGTGGTTCCATTATTATTATTATTCTTCACTACAGAGGTACTGGCCACTACCAGACTTGGTGTCTCGTCACCGCTCACATGTACAACTGCAACTAAGTCAGGAAAGAACACAGAAACTACCGAGACTGAAAGTTACAAAATCTGGTAAACTTATCTTTGTATTAGGAATGAAAACATTAAACAACTCTATTTATTCAATTACGTACAAGCTGCCCAGTGACGGCTAACAATACGAAGAATTAAATTGTGGCTGAATGCTACAAGTTCTTCAAACACCTATAGAACGATAAGTTTCTTTTTTTTTTGCGAGCATAAAACACTTAAGTACACCAGTTCGATTTTTGATACCTCACTACTATAAAGGCTTGGTTTGGTCTGATATTTCATTGGTGGTAGTGTCCAGGGTCACTGATGAGGAGTGGAATTCTCCTAAACTAGTCTGGCTCACAGACAGACAC